TGGATCCAGGCCTTGAAGTGACCTGGTCTGATCCATTCCTTCACCAGCTGGCTGAGAGAAGGCGGGCAGAAGTCTCACCTGAATATAGACATGACTTGACTGAAAAATTATTCATCGGGGGTTGAATTACTTCACACCTGTGCACATTCTTTTGTGGTTGCAAGCTCATCAAGGCTATACATCAGTTAAGACCAGAGTACAGTCTTCTATTTCCTGTTGCCTCTTAGAACAAGACTCTGTTCATAGAGACACCGATAGGTGCGCCCCAAGCTATCATGACAAACGGGGTCCAGAGGGAAGTGGGCAAGAGGGGGTTTCCCAACTCCTCTCCCCACACCCAGGGGACACTCACGTTGTTGGCTTCTCGGACCAGCCTCTGCTCATTGTACAGAATGTGCCGGATGCAGCGGACCAGCTCCATGGGGCAGCGGTCATACGTGTTCTGAAAGAATCCAAGAGCGGACATCACTCTGGTCCCCTCCGTGCTACGGGCCTACCCCCGCCTTGGAGCAGACGCCTAGAGACACGGCGCTGTAACCATGAGCTATGCTCCTCCTCCCATAGCAATGGGGGACAAGGAAAGCACCTGTGAAAACCCAACTACGTAAGAAGGTGAGCGCGTTTCATTTCTTGTGCCCTAATGTGCCCGAAGTACTCGGGCATCATTCTGGGACACAGGCGGAATACACGTCAAACGGCCACCTCAGAGGAGAACTGGACACCCCTGTGCTGGGCAATGCAAATCGCTCCACTGGCGACGGGGAGATGGGCGTTGTATGTCTCCAGATGTGGTGCCGTGAGGAGGACACAACAGCCTTCAGGGTGCTGACCAGGATTGTGTAACCCGGATCTAATCATGAGGAAACGCCACACAAACCCAACATGAGATACGTTTTATCTTTAAAAAGTAGAGGAGCTAAGTTACTTCAGAGTGTCAGTGTCACTAAAGACAAAGAAAGGCTGAGACGCAGTTCCAGATTAAAGGCTATTAAAGAGACACAATGACTAGACGCACGATGTGATGCTGGACTGGATCCTGGACTGGAGGGGGTGGAAATACATGCCCTATGGGGCATCAAGTCATGTGACAAGATGGGGAGACAGACGTAAAGTCACCCGAAGGTGTTCTGTCAACGTCCAGTTTACTGACGGTGATGACTGGACGACAACCATGTAAGAGAAGGCGCACATTCTTAGGCAACGGATGCTGCAGTACTTGGGGCAAAGGGACATGATGTGCACAACCTGCTCTCAAGTGACCAAAAAAATATGTGCGCGCGGAGAGCATATGATAAAGCAAATGTTCACAATGGGGGTCTTTGTAGCAACCTTGCAACTTTTTGTAAATTTGACATTATTTTCAAATACAAAGTTTAAAAAGAGCTACAACCGTGACAATAAACAACAGGAGCTTTATGCCGGCAGCTCCACGATGATGACGACAGCGCTGGGCTGAAGAGAAAGGAACTGTCCGGAGGGAGTACCGAACGGGGGAGGCCCGCCTGGGGCCCGCAGCGGCGACCGGCGCTCGCACCCACCTGCAGCTGCGTGGCGTAGTGCCCCAGCTTGATCTTCAGCAAGAACCCATCTTCCCCCACCTGGTGCTCCGCCTTCTTCTGCAGCTCCTGCACCAGGCCCTCCAGGAGCTGGGTGGCCTTAATGTTCTCCTGTGGATTATCAAGATCTATTGAGTCCCTAGGGGAAAAAAATTACATACATATGTATACAGACATGCACATGAGCCTGTATCAATGCAGCCTCAACACATCACACCTTGTCTCTGGCTAAAGAGATTTCGGCGTAAAGCTCACGGCACATTTTAGGAGCGTTCCATTCAGACGGACTAGATGCCTGCAGGCACCTAACCCTAATCCACTGACTACCTGAGTGGACTGGATAAGAGTCTATTTTCTTTCTTTCTTTTTTTTTAACAACCTGCTGCCCTTTCTCTTCCTCCTACTCACTTGCTGTGGTGCTCGTGCTGCCCGCGGGGACGGAAGGGAGAGGGACGTGCTCTGTGCACACTGAAGGAAGCGGGGCTCCCGTAATTTCCTATTTATAGTCGCCCCTTCACAGTGTAAGGGGCACCATGTCGAGAATGTTCTACTTTTTTTTTCCGTCCCCACCCTCGAATGGTTCTGTATGTTGCGAATGTCACATAAAGTATTTTCTTAAGGCAGGTGAAACATTTATTGCTGTTTCTAAGAAGCCTTGGAAATGATTCATTCAGGCAGACTTTTCCTACGAGCGTTTACACAAGTCGCAGATGCAGGGCCTGCAGGCAACACTAACTCCCCCAGGGAACCAGGGACTCTGTACTGACGCAGAGCCAGGTGACGGTGACAGGGCTTGGACGGCCTCCCTTCCAATCCCTCTCTCCTTCCCCCGTTCTCAGCCCCCCTCCCCGACACGCTCATGTTTTAAACAACTGAAGGCAACAGTTGCTATTTGGCAGAACTTAATTACTCAGCTCACTGGAAAAGCCAAACAGCGATCGGACTGAAATAATATTCAATGGCTGTTGCTCTGAGTCGAAAGCCAAACAAGAGATTCGGTGCTCGCTAAAAAGTGCTGTCACCTCTAACCCCATCGTGTCAGTTAGCAACTCATTTCAAATGGAGGCACAAACAGGAGTACCACACGTTGGTAACGGACTTCATCAAACGATGTGCTGAACTATGCACTTGGAGAAGGCAGCGGAGAAAGTCAAATGTTAAATGTGCACGGTTTATGGGCTAAATAAAACAGATATTAAATAAGAGCCTGGAAGGAAGGAATGGCGGCCCAGCATGCACCCCTGTGTCAACCGGCAATAACGCTCCTCGTCCGAGGAAGCCATTCGTGAGAAGATCCATCTCATGGAAAACAAGTACTGGTTCTTGTACTTAATTCTCTGTCCTTCTCCCCTCAACCCCTCCCCCCCAAATATTTTCTTACCGTAAACATGAAGAACTGGACATTTTAATTAAAATCTTTATACTCTTTTTAAAAAATATATTTTTATTGATTTCAGAAATGAAGGGAGAAGGAGAGACGGAAACATCAATGATGAGAGAGAATCATCGATTGGCTGCCTCCTGCACGCCCTCCACTGGGGATCGAGCCCACAACCTGGGCATGTGCCCTAATCGAACTGTGATCTCCTGGTTCATCGGTCGATGCTCAACCACTGAGCCACGCCGGCCGGGCTAAAATCTTTATATTCTTAAGAAAACCCAAACTAAGGAAAATTCTAGAGTTATTGAGGTGGTATCTTCGTAAGTTAAATAAATGTCTAGTAACTATGTTGTATACCTGAAACGAATACAATATTGTATGCCACTGTCATTGGAAAAAAATTTTTTTAACTAAATAAAATTCAGATTTCCTTTAATATCAACACAAGCCTCTTAACATTTGCTCAGTAAGAAGACGACGTGGAAACTCTATCCAACGACATTTTAAATAAACAGAAACCTCCTATTAATGTTTTCCTGAACTCCTCAAGATCTTTAAAAAAGAAAAGGAAATGGAAAAGCACCAGGCAAGGTGCAGTTGACACGCTCACACTTAGCTCTCCTTTTTCTCACTTAATTACATAAAGCTGAGATTTTTTTTTTTTTAATTGCCTAGAAAATTGCCTTCCTGGAGCTCTCTCGTTTCTGGAGAGAAATTCGCTACTAATACACAACTGCAACTATTCCAAGGCAGCGTGACTGCCAGGGATACAGCCCTCCTCGAACAGCAGCCTAAAGGCCGCCTCCTCCCAGGCTCTGTCAGAGTGGCCACGCCACCCGCAATGGTGCAGGCCTGGAGCAGAGGATGAGTCTGTCAGATCAGACTGACCCGCTGGTGACAAACCAGCTTGCTGCCTGGCGTGCAATAATGTCAGTGGGAAATATTCCTATCAGTTGACTGCATTGTACTAATTCTCAAAGCGTTTAAAAACAATTCCCCCTTAATATATAATGAAGCGTGATTTGGAAAATAAGAAAAATAAACATGCTTGTTAAATCTGCCATCACAATATAATTATTGTTAATATTTTGGTGTATCGGCTTTTAGTCTTTCTGTGTACATATAATTTACACATAAATTTGAAAACACCAATGTCTCTCCATTGTTAAATTTGTTAACAATACACTTTTTAAAAATTATGTGAATGGACATACCTTATCTGTCCCATTCAGCACTAAATTCTATGTGGACTAAGGTTTTAATTTTTTCATATGAACTCTACTACCTACGCCTCTGCTAGGCACCCTACAGGCACTCAAAACATTTGTTAATTGGTTTTTACTAGCTGCAATATTCAAATGTTTTTAGCCAGAATATACTATTAAAGAGAAGATATCCTATTTTTAAAAAAATATTTTTTTAAATTGATTTCAGAGAGGAAGGGAGAGGGAGAGAGAGAAACATCAATGATGGGAGAGAATCATTGATCGGCTGCCTCCTGCACGCTCCACACTGGGGATCGAGGCCACAACCTGTGACCTCACAGGTCAATGCTCAACCACTGAGCCATGCCGGTCGGGTGGAAGATAACCTATTTTTAAAATCCTAAGAGTCATTCTATCTTTCTAAAATTTCAGATGGCACTAAATACCTCTTCATGGGTCAGGATTTTTTTTTTTTTTAAGGTCTAAGTTTTGGAGTCCCCATCGTGTTATCTTCCAAATTTAAATATGCTTGTGCTGCCCTGACCGGTTTGGCTCAGCGGATAGAGCGTCGGCCTGCAGACTGAAGGGTCCCAGGTTCGAGTCCGGTCAAGGGCCTGTACCTGGGTTGTGAGCACATCCCCAGGGCGGGGGGTGTGCAGGAGGCAGCTGATCGATGTTCTCTCTCATCGATGTTTCTAACTCTCTATCCCTCTCCCTTCCTTCTCTGTAAAAAACCAATAAAACGTATTTCAAACTAAATAAATAAAGACGCTTGTGCTTCATGAAATATGATGGAGAAAAGTCGGTGCGCTTACCAAGGCTGGCTTTCGATCCACTGGGATAAGTAGTGGCGCACCTCGATGGGGAAATGCTGGCCGTACAGGGCTTGCATCTGATGCAGGGCATCTCCTTGCAGCTGCTGGGCCTGGATCCACACAGCCATGTTTACAATCTGCTAAACAAACAATCGGTGGTTTGGGTGGTTTTATCTCTTCCCCTTTTAAATCCACTAGAGTAAACATTAATATCGTTATTAGAGATAATTGCTTTTTAAGCCCTTTTTGGTAGACTGAAGATCCGGGTTGTTGAACTGAATTTTAGCGTTACAACGTTTTCAGGATGTGGGTGTTCCGTGTGGCCATGGGAAGCTATCTGGGTGGGTCCATAAAGCTCTGACTATACAATATCCCGAAGTCCTAGAAGCAAAAGTGCACAGGGGAAGAACTGCCTATAGCTTCGATATCATAGACATTTTCTTCACTTTTGTTCCGAGCTTGAAGCAACAGTAAGCAGCATCTGAACAGTAATGAGGAATAATTAGCGTGGGGATTTTTTAAAATCCACTTGTTTTAGATTCTTATTTTGACTTTTAAGAATTCCAATAAACATACTGCCATTTTGAAAAAGACCCAGTAAAAGGAAAGTGAAAATATGTCAAGCATGGATTGAACCCTATGTATTATGACTAGGTTACCTAAGCAACAATGCCTTGCACACAAAGGGCACAACTTTATTGGAAAAATACCCCAAGGTTCACCTTCTAAGGAATTTATGAAGCAATGTTCTGTTAAATTATAGCCTTTAAAAATCTTTCCGACATAACAACCATACATCCCAGCTAAGAGTCAGAAACAAGAATCATTATATTCCAACACGGGTAGATTTTTAAAATATGCTCTTGATTTCAGAAAAACGGTCTCATAAAACTACCAAGATGTCTTCTCAGACCCAACTGAGAATTTTAAATTCATTTGGCAGAAACTCTCTGGGCGTAACCTGATTGCAGCGGTAACATTACTTTCATGGACACAGAAGGGACTTCTAACACGGAATCTTGCTCTAACACTGATCCCTAATGTAGACTCTGGTATAAGGCAGGGCTATCTTTAATCCCACCCAAAATTAAGTTGGCTATTGATTGGCACAATTCTCCCAAGAGCTGTTACAGTCAGGGTCCAGTGAATTACAGCTTGCTTTTGTTGAAGACCAGAGACTACACGTGTGTGTTAGGAAACAAAAATCGCATC